CAGATGGCACGGGGAGACCTGGTCTAACACTATCAAAAGCGTGAATAGCTGTAGAGAGTCTAGCGCGCTTCAGCCTCTCTATTTCAGCCCTCCACTTCTCATCTCGTCGCAGCAAACAGTCTACAACCTTAGCTTCAAATTCCTTAAAAGCTGTGTTCATGCATTGCTCCATGGCCTCGACATTCCTATCTATATACGTCCTGATGTTTTGCTCCCTATTCAAAGCACTATCTACAGAGGCCCGGAAATCTTCTTCCAGTGATGTAATCCTAACCCCCATGTTAGTTAAATCATTCCTAATATCATTAATGTCTGACAGAGTGAGATATTTTTCCTTGTCTTCTTCTCTTTCTTCAACTTCATTATCTTTCTTATTTAATGTCTAATGTTTTTATCTTTATTTTTTTATCTATTTTTTTTCCTCTTTTTTACTGTTTATTCAATGTTACATGACTGTGTTTAGTTTTTTATGATGTGGCCGGAGAGGTGCGTACCGTTGCGGGTGTCGTCCCCCCTTCTTGGAAGTGTGAAGGGGTGCATGTGTCGTCCCCCACTGGTTGAAAAGGGGTGCAAGTTTTAATGTTTTTATCTATATTTTTTATTTATTTATATTTTTAACTGTTTATTCAATGTTTCATGACTCTGTGTTTCTGTTTTTAATGTTGTAAAGCACTTTGAAATGCCTTGCTGCTGAAATGTGCTATACAAATAAAATTTGATTGATTGATTTGATTGATCTGATCAATCAAATCAATGAGCTAAATGAGCTAAATGATTTTTTTACCCTTTTATACAGCTAAAAGTTAGTTTGGTATGAAGTAGAGCTAATGTGCCAATAAAGATCAAGTTAAGGACAAACATATGTCATATATAAAAAAATAAAAAAGGGCTGATGCTACATTTGAAAAATTAAAAGACTAATGGAACTAAAATGTCCTTTTTAAAAGAAACTATGAAACTTTATAGACCAAAAATATTAAAAGAAATTAATCAGGAACTCTACATCAGGTTTCTTTTCCTCTAGTCTGAGAAGAAAACAATTGTTTAAAAATCATAATATCTCTGAAGAAAATAAGAACCAAATAACTTTCTATTTCACTCCCAAAAAAAAGATATTAATTTCATGATTGTGTATGAAGGTTTCCCTTTCTGCAAAAGAAATTCAAATTAAATAACGATTCCTGTGTGTTTTTTGACTGAGATTTTGAGATAATACACCTTTTGTCAATTGTGACTTTATTAATGTTTTAGAAAGATATTTTCAAAAGTGGATATTACACAAGAAATCTATATTATGGTGTAATCCTCTGGCTTACACAAATACTGCTTTCTAAAAAAATAACCTCCATCTTTAAAGTGGAATAATTTTATTTAAGAGAGTGCTAAAATGTTGCAACAGAACAAGAAAAACAATCTTTATACTAACATTTATAAAGATTTCAAATCTTTATACATTTAAAATTTCAAATCTTAATTTAAGATCTGAAATTTGTTTTGCATTTGTAACATTTTGTTTGACTTTCCTCAGTTAGTTTACGTTTTGAGTAGTGAATTGTTGGTAACACACTTTGCCAAATTTAGTAAAAATGCGGACTTCACGGAAATAGGACCCAAAATGGGTGGGGCGAAGGATGGGTTGTGTGGGAGGGACACACTATGACCTCTGACCCTTCAACATGAACGTGCATTTGAAGGACACAAGGAGGAACGAGGGTGGGAGTGCGAGTATTGGGACAGGGCCATACTCCTTTTCTCTTCTCCTTCCTTGATGGTTTCTCCCGCTACTTCTTGTTCTGCCTCGTGTTCTCCTTGTGTCTCCTTGAATCGACTTGCTGTTTTTCCACTTGGATTCATGGCTTGTGTTCTGCCCCGGCCCCTTGTGGATTTTTAAAAAGTTTTTTGTTAATCATCTTCATTAAATCTACACCATCTACTGAACACCTCTGCTGCTCTGCGTTTGGGTCCTCTTTAATCAACACATTATGACAATTGTATTTTGTTTGAGATATAAATAATTTAGTTTTTACTTCTGCCTACTCCTCTTTAACTGTTTTGCATATCTGGTTTTATTTTGTTGTGTAATCATACAATTACAATCCAAAAAGTCCTTTCCTTTTTTAAACTTACAATAAAGCTATTGAGCTTATGTGCAATTTGTTCATCTTACTAACTTTGTCGTTTCTTTAGATTTGCTGACAATGGCATTGGTCTCACTCTTGCAAGGTAGGACTTTCAATATATTCTATCATTCTTTCTCTCCCTTTGCTTTCTTTATGCACTGAGGAATGGAGGTATTAAAGTTTCTAAATAGAATGGTCACATCGTTTGGAATAGGTCTGAATGCTCAGTTGACTTTCCAAATCAGAGAGATACACACTTTACATAAAGCGCTGTTTAACCTGGGGAAAGCATTCTATTTTTTTCTGTTGCTTTCTTTTAATACCAGCAATCACTATAGCAACTATAGCTGAGTAGAATAATTTAACATTGCGGTAAATATTATAACCATTAACATAAACAAAAAATATTGAACAGTCATTTAAGAAGCACTTAAGTACTTTAAAAAGTACTTAAGTACGTTTCAGGATAGTGAACTGCTTTGCGCAGCAAGGCAGTACATTAACATTAACACAAACATTAGCACTTAACTGCCCCCACTAGTGCACTGCCTTGCGTAGCCTTTTTTCATCAAAACTGACTAGGTGTCTCATAAAGATAGAAATCCTTCTCCACCTCTGTCTCACACACAGGGCAGTTAGCAGAGGATTAATCGCTATAGCAACAGAATACAGAGAAGGCAGATCTGCTGGTTTGGACTACAAAGACTCTGTAGTTCTAAACATGGCGGAACACTTTAATACAGAGGGCAGAGCAGAAGGTCAGAACTACAACATGGTGGAACACTCAATTATTACAGAGGAGGGCTGAGCTGGCATTCAGAACTATTTGCTGTTTTGGGCTTTATATAGTTGGATTAAACAAACCACTGTTACACATTGGATTAGTGTGGCCATTTAAAATGAAGTTTACTGAAAATTTCAAAATAAAAGCCTTGACAATTTTTACATCAGGTAATTGCTCTTGTGGGCTTTATGTGACTGGTTTAAACAAACCACTGTTACACATTGAATTAGAGTGGTCATTAAAATGAAGCTTACTGAAAGTTTCAAAATAAAAGCCTGCATATTCCTCTCATATCAGTGCACCGCCATAGGCGGTGCAATAATATTAAGCTTTTTTATGTTTTTTTTCTCTGTGCAAGGCAGTTCATTAACATTAGCACAAACATTAGCATTTCACTGCCTCCACTACTGCACTGGCTTGCACAGCATTAGCTAATTTTCTTACTTATTAGCGATGTTTAGTATACTGAATGGAGTAAGTCAATGACAGACAACATGCGAATGATGCCCCACATGCTACTGATAGTCTTCAC